TTCGAACACGGGTGTTGTCCTTTTGTTGTTTTCTTCATCAAAGCAACCAGGCATTGAGCAAGCAACGAATGCGAACGAAAGAGTAAGTTTTAGCTATATTAAACGCCTAGGTAGTCGAGATGAAATAGAGTATGATGGTGAGTAAATAAAAACATTATCATGTGCACTCTACTGCTAAGGCTCATGAGGATGAATTACTTCAAAAAATAATAATAAATAAAATAAAAAATAAATGCTGCCTGTATGTCACAGCTTGCGTACAAACCCTTTGAAAAAATGGCTCATGGTACGATTTCTCTACTTCAGGAGGATATCTAACTGTATAAATCAGAACAACAGCATAAATCAGTATTACTATACTTCCTATTTTCTTTTAAATAACTTATGTACTTTGGCATTTGGATTTCGCTTCTTCAGTTATTATTACCAACATTACCCTATATAAGAGCGAAAACCATAATTCGTTTCGCCCTAATTTTTACTTTTTCCATTGTTATTCTATACTTCAGTTGTTGTTTACTACTATAAACTTAAACTAACCGTTAGTATGTAACACTATAAAACTCAATGATTAGAAATTCCTAGTAATAAAAAAGGAGAATAAACACTGCGGTTATCGCATATTGTTTGCTTAAATTATTATTATCTGCTGGCTGCTCCTGTTTTCTTCACTTCTCGAAGGTATTGCACTGAAGCACTGCTAAGGGACAGTAATCCTGCTTTCTACATTTGCATTACTTGAACGGTATCCAGAATATTGTTAGCACTTACGATGAACAACGGAAAAAATTCCATTCTGAATTCTGTTCAACATCGCAAAGTTAACTTTGCGACCAATTGGTCCCTTTTTTCTGCTAATACCAATATAGTTCTGTACTTACCATCTAATGTGGATTTTTATAAACTTTCGAACCCTTATTGATTGATAAAATGGTAATAATAACGGTCTGTATCCAGTGTGTCTTACTCTAGCACCTGTATATCACCTCTCTTCTTACCTTCCATTAACGCAAAATTTCATAATTCTCGCATGAATCTGACTCACTATGAGTATATTAAATATTATAATTTAGACTTAAACCGAAATCCTATATTCTATTCTTATAAAGTTTCTAGAGGTCATTTTCCAATTTTTAATTTCATAAAACAGTGTTCAATTTCAGACTGCAAATGTCTAATATGATCATGCCTGTACAAACGGTATGTGAATCATGTAAATGCTTAATTTATGTGAAATATATATTAATATTAATTAATGTGGTATATAAGTATCATTTCAGTGAAAAGTGTCCTTAAAAGTCTAGAAGGTTAGAACCTGTAGCAGAAGCTGGTCTGTAAGATGTTTCACGAGTTTATGTAAGGTCCATGGGGTAGCATCTTGACAAGAGGCTGAGCAAGCTCGCAGGTGGTAGGAGCCAAAGCATTTTTTATAAACTGATATCTGTACAACCCTCATTGGTCTCTTGTCAAGGATCTAGACTTATGTTTAATTCTTTGACTGTCAAAAAATGAATGTTGCTGTCCTACAGATTGGAGCGATTCCCATTTGTTACCATAACCATATATACTGATTGGCATGCGATAGAAAATACATGAAAAACAAAACAATGATACACTGTTGTATATACATCTATACTGAGAGAGACAGTAATAAATTATAATATTGGGCCAAAACAGTTCGGCTACTCTCACAGTTAGAATCATAGAATAGTAAAATAAAAGCCGTTAATATCTAAGACTCACCATGTAGTTCGGTTGATTATTTAGATGACTACCATTTGAATTCAAGTGTTGGTTTGTTGGGATTTGATTGGTTTCAGGATTTCATCATGAGCTGACATTAGTTAGAGATCCATTGGAAAACCAGCTGGGAGTACTGGACAGCTGTTTCGTCCTAGTTTGGGACTTTTCAGAAGTACGCACCCATCAGGATTCGAACCCAGGACCTTCCGGTTACAAGGCGAGCTCGTATACCATTAAGCCACTGGGACCTGATCGAGCGGTATTTGAATTCTAATTTCTGCCAATTCACGACATAGCGCGACCACTAGCCAATGTCTTCGGCTAGTATTTGTCCTCACACTCGACCCGCTGCACCCCACTGGTCACGACTTCCAACTGGAACCCGGGTAACTACCTACCTGAATACATAGCACCAATACATAGCCAACCATTAGGTTATTGTACACAAAGTCTAAGAATAAATCTTACAACAATAAATCACAATAATACTTCTGATAGTCTTCTCTCTTCCAACGAACAGCGAACGATGAGACGATGACTGCTGGATTGACGACTCCTGAGAAAAATATGGAGTTGGGTTTGAGCAAACAACCATGAATTGATCGTTCAATCTTCAACTACGTTGACAAATCTTGACATAACTTTTGAAGTAAATGGGTAATATGTAACCAAGCTCAACCCAGTCGTAGATCTCGTTATCGGGTACTCTAGTAATTTAACGTTCTGTGAACAAAGTGATTATGCCAGACGTTAACCATGAAGGCACGTTTGATACATGATTTCTTGCGTACAAGGTTTGCATTCTGAACACTAACTAAAAACTGTACAATCATATTTTTCCAGACTCCACATGTTTAAGCTATCAATTTATGTTTCGGTTGAATTCACTTTGATAATTTGATCACAGATACTTCGATAGCAAATTTTATCAAAACATTCCCTCCACAGGAAAATGAAGGTTTAACAATATCACTTGACGTTCTCCGAACAAATTGATTATGCTAGACGAAAAACACGAAGGCTCCCAGGATGCATAAGTCACATTTTCTTCTGTTGTGAAACTAGGGTTTTATTATACTGGGTATATGTCCAACCTATTTTAGAATAGTGCCCGTTTATTCTTAGCGGACTGCGACAGAATGACAAGCTTAAATTAGAGGGGGCGCAACGGCAATTTACCTCAACAACTGTTGGCTTAGAATGTAGTCTCCAATAATCTGAGAGTCGCGACAGGCTAAGATTAGAACCACTCTGGAAAAGACGTCTTAAGCTAAACCTTATTTTCTACTACAGGCTAACTAATCCTTTGCACTGCTCTGGGCCAATGACTCAATCTCCCACTGCCATCTATGACAATCTTTGAAATCATGACAACTTTGTTGCTGAAGAGCATTGTCTGACTCAAATGCGGTACAACTTCCTAAATTAGTTTTTAGTCATTTGGAATAGGCTGCCAGCTAATGTGCGTGATGCAAACACACAGCAGTAGGGTTTATGTTCTCCGTCCTCTAGTTAGGGCTATGTTAGGAGTAGCCCGGTCAACCGGTCAGGCGGATTAGATCAAATCGTCAGCTGATAGTGTGAAAAAGCTCATATTTCGAACGATAGATGACCACACAGTAATCGTCAGCTTTATTTTTAGTTGAGGCCAACCGTAAGTGGGCTCGCACTGTAACTATCTGGTCTCCTAGAAACTGGCCTTATAAAATGGAGGAATACCTGTACATGCTCCAAATTTTAGCAGGCAAGCCAGCTAAGTGCACATTACTGCCACCACACCCATTTTGAGCTTCCACTTCACCCGCTGCTTTCACCTCACATTTCCTCCTCGGGTAAAACAAGAAGTCATTTCAAAAGACTTTTTGCAGGGACGTCTAAGTGAAAGAATTCCACGATACCATATTTGGTACGCGTTTTATGTGATGAATATAGTGTGTGGCAGGAACTATCCAACCTTCTTTGCACTAGCAAATAAACCATTTTCTCCATCTTTATTCTACCTGGCTTCGGTGTTATTGTTCTTATTATATTTATAACCCTCTCATTTTGCCATTCTATAGGCTTCATTAGTGTATTAAATTATATATGTCGAGTGATAATATTCACAGTTATTCATTCATTCATTTCGGACCCAATAGCGGACACAAACCATAGTGTTGAAATCAAGTTTCTCTAATTCTTCTAAGCAAATACTAATTGTCAACCTGCCGAACACCCTAATTTGTGTGAATTGTGCCAACGCTTACATTTGCTGAGTTAGGTTCATCAGGCTGACGGTATAACTGAGCGCCCACAAAAGCCAGTCTCACTTACCTCGGTCTTTCGTTCATTGTCCATAAATGGGGATAAATCTAAGTGTGATTATCTATTCGTGTATCTTTGTCAAACTTTAGGCTGAATAGTGCTACTTTGGTACTCTTTAGCCCATCTGAATCCATCTAAGTTTCCAGGTTTCTTTTAATATAACCTATATAGCAAGCAAAATCGATCGGACGAACAAGTGTTGGGATTTGTAACTGTTTATGCGATTTTGAAGATACATACTTGCAGACCCCAGAGAAAGGGGCATATAAGAGGGGACGAATTTCTCCAAACAGAGTCATAAACCTAAGGGTTGATCCTCTCCTCGTTTCTTTTGTGTGTCGAGAAATTACACAGCCAAATCTTCGAATCTGGGTCTCTTCGCATCTAGGTGGTTAGTGTCTAGGTAGTTAACTTGAGACGCCTCGTTATCATGAATTAGGTCAAAATATACAGTGAGTGCTCGTTTCACTACCCATTATAAAACAGTCTAGGGAAACCATCCGAAAAGATTCTGGGTAAATTACAAAGCTATTCATTTTTAGGATCAGCAACTTCTGATCGAGGAATAATGCACTGAATAATTCTGTGAAAATTCACTGCTTTTGGTGAGATGATCGGTTACATAATAACCTCTCTGTATGCTTCTGTGAAGAAGTACAAATCAGAACACCATCTAGGGATAATGTAGATATTTCGGAAGAAATCCTAGGTTAACACAGCAAATGACACTTATTTTGACAGGCCTGCAGTTAGGAAAATGATTCAATCTTATTACTTGATTTTCTTAGTGTTACCGTATATATATCGGTTTTACTCGGTTTTTACTGAATTTCTAGGGGCAGTTATAATCCTGAAAGCATTCTACCATAAACGGAATGAGAAAAGTGACCTTGAGATTCTTAACATAATAGGTCATAGCGGCACTACAAAATCTTTCATTTTGGCGGCAAAAGATGAGTTCCTTGTCAAAGTTCTTTAAGTCAAGGAAGAATGACAAGGCAGAAACACAGACTGCAATCCAAAAGCTTAGGGATACACATGAGATGCTCACAAAAAGTCTAATTTTCTTGAGGGCAAGGTAGAAGAACAGATAGCCCTAGCCAGAAAATATGGTCTAAAAAATAAAAGATGTAAGATAAAGTTTTGAATCTCTTGAAACTACTAGTGGCTCTTCAGGCTCTGGCTAGAAAAAGGAACTATGAGAAGCAGCTTGCTCAGATTGATGGAACACTGAACACAATCGACAGTCACATTGAAGCACTGGAGAATGCTGGAACTAATGTGGAAGTTTTGAATGCTATGCGATATGGATCAAATGCTCTAAAGAACGTTCACAAGAATATGTAAGTCTGTGTATTTTTTAATTTCTCCCAGGACTGCCGATGATGTCCAAAATATTATGGATGACATTCAAGAACAAAGAGATATTAGTCAAGAAATATCCAATGTAATATCTACGCCTATGGGTCTCAACTCCGACTTTGATGAAGATGATCTTCTGCGTGAACTTGAGGAGCTTGAGGTAACTTTCACATTTTTACTGCTTATATCAAACTGGATATGCACTGAAAGCAGCGAAGTATTGTAATACTGTGATAAGTTTTCCGTAGGTTTCACTATTTCTGTTGCTTTTAAACCGGGCGTTTAGCAGGATGTTTCCCTCAACTTAATAACAATTAAGGAAATATGTTAATAAGCGAAATTAGTAAGGCGTTTTATAGGCATAACTACTTCCTGTGTATTCAGTTACCATCCAAAATTGTTTACTACATGTATATATTATATATATATATATATATATATATATATATATATATATATCAATGATTGGTTATTAACTGTATTATGGACCGATGATTAAGGCTTATGTGACAACTGGTTCACACATATCAAAGACTTCTAAATGTTTCGGTTCATCGTATTTAAGTACACCTATATTAAAAGATACAGCTTTAGAGTCTTTCTCATTGTGATTTATAAATATTAGGGTTTATTGTTATATTAGTATTGGTATTTCTTAAAAGTGCAACTTTAAAAGTGTATGACTTTCTGTACTGACTATGGTTTTAATTTATGGTGACATGTTCAGTGTGCACAGCTGATTTGAACTCTCGAGTATGTACGTTTTTAGAGTATCAGCACTGAAATTTTTTGTAATTAATACTTTCGGTTGATTTACTAATTTTTTACAGCAACTCTTAATGATACAAATAAAGGTGTACGGCAGAGATTAATTTGATGGAAATCTGATATGTTACATTAATCTTCAACTGTTAAAGAATTATGCAGAACAACTAAATATACAAATTTAGAATACTTTGTCTGGAAGCATTTAGCTTATACTACTACTACTACTACTTTATGCTTTTTTGACACTGACTTCTCAATGAGGCATTTCTCACAGCTCCTTTTGATCAACGGAATCAAATGCCACCGTCAGGCCTAGAAATATGGCAAGTCTAGGGTGACGATAGATACGCTTATTTTCCAGAACCCATGGAAGGGTGAAGATATAATCAGTGCACCCTTGTTCGAGTCTAAGACTAGTCAAGTTTTGTTGTATTTCGTTTTACCCGAGCTCCACTTAGTCATCACAAGACTAGAGAACTTAGAATCGTAGTTACTGTGTCAAGCTAGACCCCCTGTGGTTTTCATAAGATTCATCTCCCATCTTGTTAACTGGGATGATCATATTTTTTATTTTATTTATTCGAACAAACCTCGTTCATTATGGGTACCAAGAGGTGTGCCACACAAAATGTCATAATTTGTGCGACGGTTGAGATAATGTCTGGAAGCTCGGACTGAAGCAGGACCTTGTCTTAAGAGGCCATCCTGTGAGTCACTGACTCGAAGTCTGACCCACAAAGCAGTGGAGCAGCGTCTGGAGCTATGTCCTTATACATTCCAGTGACCAAAAACAGGTTCGTACGCCATTTTACCCTTTCGGATTCAGGAGCCCACATACTTTTGCGAGAAACACCACTACTGCGCAAAGACAATGAATAGGAATTATCTAGTAAAAGCCATGAAGCGTGGCCATATGATGAAAGCGTTTCTACAGAAAGACCAAATTCCAGTCAATCTCGTTTATGAAGACGCAAATGAATACCAATCTGCACGAGCTCGCTGATCATATTACTTTTTTTCCATGGGTAGGTTTGACTGTTTTGAAGAATTCCATCTTTCTTCAACTCAATAACTTCACCTCCCCAGCTGTTCGTCAGTAAAAATAAGTAGAAATCTACATCAGTTCTTAGTACTTTGACTTAATCGTTGTGGCGTTGTAGCCTAGTGAATTAGGAGCTCGAATTCCAACTATTGTATCAATGGTTCAAACCTTAAACACCTACCGTGGTTTGCGTAGTCAGTTCCAATTTCTAGTCATAAAAACATTTGGCCATGACCTGTTTGTCATGTATGTTTACACGCCTGCGTTTGTTCAGTATTACTTCATCTATTTTCACATCCGATTATTATTCTCTGAAGGTGGATTATTAGAAAATAACAAAACTCACTTCAGTGATATATATATATATATATATATATATATATATATATATATATATATATATAATATATGATGAGTACAGAAAGGTTCGATCACATAAGCATCCTTAACAAGGAACTTATGATCCTTCATGGTACGCTGTGTGTATCCATGAAAGATTAAATGACTCTAAAATGTAACTTGGTCTTCGCAGTGTAGTAAAAGTGGTCTCATCTCACTTTAAACAAATACACAAATACCAATACTATGGCTACATATTTTTCGTCTGCTCGCACAGGCCTACTAAAGAGGAATTCTGTTATTACTCGTGTTGTCAAGATGACGTGTTTATCTATTGCGAAGTCATTCTGCCTACCTGAACCAACATTATTATTACATTATATATTATTGTTTCCTTTAGTTCCTAGAGGAAAATAAGGCTTCAGATGCACGTCTCGATTGCGTTCGGTTCCTTGCCAACGTTTTCACTTGGCTCAGTGTCTGCCCACATTCTTTCATCTCCCCTTCGAATGACCTCCTCCATTTTACCCTCGTACTGACGACCAACTCATCGCTTCCCATTTGAGTTCCACTCGAACAATAGCCTGGCGTGTGATGTCACTCACTTGATGGCTAGTTTTTTCAGAGTATGGCCAATCCATATCCTTTGCTTCCTGCATATATGTTGCACAGTTGATTCCTGTTGGGTTGGTTTGCTCATTGCCAGAGATCCTTCTTGTTGATCTTTTCTAGCCGGCCCTCTGATCTTGAGTAATATAGAGCTAAGACAGCTAGCTGTTGATGGTGTGTAGTTTGCTCGAAGTGCCCTTCGTGACATGGTCCGTATAGTAAGTAACACTGACTTCACATTGGAGTTGAAAATCCGGATCTTATTTTTCATGCTGAGTGTTGATAGCCACAGACTTGAAAGTGATGAAAGGTTGTCTTGCTTTGTCGATCGTCGCTTTGATATTCTCATCAGTTTCGTCCGCCTGTAGTTAAAACGATCCTTCCCATGTGCGTAAAGAAGGTTGCTTCTTTCAGAGAACTAACATACATTTAAAAAATGGTCACGTTAATTGCCACCAGATAATTTGTATCAGATCTTTATCTGATTTAGGTAAATACTAATTTTACGGCTGAGTATCCGTTCATGGCGTGAACACCTAGGCTTGAATGCTTTGATCTTCGCGCTACACTAGGGGGTGTACATTGCGCTCAAGGTAGTGTTAAACAATGTAGATGGTCGTTCAGTGTTTTTTGCTTCACCTCATTTTGGCTAACAAGTGTAAGTGCTTCCGAACTTCCTTGGATAGAGACGGTGTTCAAATTTCAGTCGGTGAGTCCCGGCTTCGAAACCCGCTCCATCTAGTTCTGCATGGGCAACTGATTAATATCAACAGCCCTTGCACAATAAGTGTGGCTCATGACCAGACACACAGAAGACCTTTCCAGGGAACTGAGTTCTATTCCAACTTCGCATATCACTCTATAGCGTATACTATGCTGTAGCTGTCGAACAACTAGTGGACATGAATGCGCCTAGTCTATCTTATCATACTATATTTCTCCCCAATGATAAGTAAAAGAACATTTAGTTTCCGTCATATCTATGTTTTTTCTATGTGCTAGTGTGTAGGGTTTTGATTGGTTTTGAGTTCTGTCCTGATCCACCGAGGGAATATTCTTTTCAGCGGTTACACCACAGGGTAATATTGCATACCAGTCTCGTCTCGCGGGAGTCAGGGATAGGTGTTTTCAGTTCTGCTGAAAACCAATGTACCACAGTCGATGGGTGTACCATTACGCAAATACGCATCTGGTGGTTCAGCGGCAAAATGCCCGTAAAAGAATAAAACAGAAGAAAATGAAATAAAGTTTTGATAAACGATTGATATCAGCTGGAGAACCACTGAAAACTAGGTAGCAATGGATATAACTGTTTCATCCTTGTTGTATGAGACTTTTCGCACAGTACACTCACCCCAAGACACCTTGAGAAGACACACACTAAGATGGGATTCCATAACTTATGAATTCTAACTTCTATCAAGTTTTTGTTCGTATCTCAATGATTTAAATTGAGACAGAATCACTATTTTATAGATCTTAGTTGTAAACTGCCTAACCACTCTTCGCGTGATTTGTGTCTTTAGTCAGCTGATGTATTTATTGAATAATGACATTCCTAGCATTTGTATGTACACTTCACAGTCTACTAAGCACCTACACATATTGGCGTCAAATAAGTTTCCGTGTAATCTCTGTACTTGGCTTACATTCAATTCTTTTGAAGCCTACCGTAGTCTTCGACGTCTATTAATATGTGGTATTGTGTTGTGTTCATATAAATTATCAAAGCATTAACAGTTCTGTAACTCACTGACCACTTACTCACTTTTATACTCGACTGTACCGGATTGATGATCTAATTGTACTTGAAAGCGAAACAGTGTTTGATTTTCAGTCAAGTTGGGTTGCCGGGGGATGGGGCTAATTGAATAGGATACACAGACTGAGGCGGTTTTAGTTAGTAACAGTTAGTTTGTAGGAATTTGATTTGTCTCAAGTTTGATTACGACCTAATATCCGTTGGAGAAGTACTGGAAAGCTTGCGACTGCTCAGGAGTATCACCTTCCAGCTACACACGGCAAGCTCATAGGCCTCTATTCAGCCCCTGGGACTGACGGCATTGGCTGGTGGTAAAAGTTGAAATTCATGGGTCACTGGATCAGATTCTAATGGCTGAATTGTTTACGAGTTTGGCTTATAACTGGAAGGTCGTCGGTTCGAACCCCAGTAAATGCGTACTGACGAAGAGTCCCAATCTAAGCTGTCCAGTACTCTGTGATTTTGATTTGGTTGTGTTCTCTGAGTTGAAGATGTTGGCTAGAAGGACAATGAAAGCTTCACTACTAATTCAATCAGCTCAGAAAACACAACTACACCAAACTCATCCACCTGAACTATAAATCTCTACTATTCCCTGGTTTTTCAATGGCTCTCTCTAACCGCTGCCACCTGGTGATCAAATGTGAGAGTTTTTGTTTCTCACAATAGTCAATATTTTTCAATTGATTAGTACCTATCTCATTCGAACAACAATAGGTAATATCTTTAGTTCTCATTCAGTTGTAATTTATCATTCTGTTGTATATATCAGTTTGTCGAGTCACTACTAGTAGAGACGATTATTTAATTTGGAAATGCCTAAAATAATACACCTAACGAGGATTTTATTACTGTTTTTTATAAAAACGAATCTCAATCTCTTAATGATTTCACTGTCAGAAGAAAAGTAAGCTGGTCAGTTGTTTAAAGTGAGAAATCAGCTCTAACTTAAACAAACATTGGCCTTATTTGAGTTTGACTTAATTTTGTACTTCCCCGATGATTGATTATATTAGACCGAAATGTTCGGCCTCTGTTGACATGTCGGTTGCTAATACAGACACTTCTTCTGAAAGAAACCTTCATGCAAAATGGATATCCACCAAGATTCATCGACAAAAATATCAAACTAAAAGTTCAGAGGGACGAAACACTAACTTGTTCCAAGAGAGAAACTTTATATGGACCTGGATTTCAAGGCGGAGTTAACCTGCAATATTCTTAAGAGAAGGATTTTATCATCTTTGAGAGGAACAGTCTTCACAGCAATGTGAAAAGTAGTGTCCTCCAGTGGTCCACTCACTGGTCTGTAGAAGCCTTAAGGGCAGGATCTCTCATCTGACCACTTTTATGGCTATATATCGGTTCACTTGTTGTTGTGGAGCCAGGTAAATTGGTCGTTTGATGGATATCCTGTCTAAAAGCGTTTAAGAACATTATCCTGCATATCTGCAGAGAGGTAGTAGTGACTCTGTAAGGAGTGTAATAATGAAACACACCTTGTCAACAAAACTGACCATTCCATCACAACCAACTCCTCGCTGAAAGTAATCTACAAAATGAAGAATAACCTACCAAAGGAAATACACTTTCGTCTCGTTTGCATTTTTGAAGCCTTAACCTTACAGCTGGAAAAGAAAACTGGAGTTATGCACACAAGGGCAAATTATTCAACCATTCTTACTATTATCAGATCAACCTTGTTGTTTCCTACAGACTTGATATCTCAAGTAATCACCCATCAGGAAATGCTAAAATTGACCTAAACGAATAATTACTGATATCCATCGCACACGAAGTGACTGTTGTAACTCAAGTGGCCTGGTGCATGACATTTAAGCATTTGGAACGATAGGTGCTGGAATGCCACCACTCACTGGGTGGTGGTGGTCGTGGTGGGAGGAATTACAGGCACATCTAATTGACTAGTCCCAAGTAGATTAGCAGAGAGTTGATCAAACTCAAAGAAATCTGACAAAGAGTCTTCAGTCAGTGACTTCTAATATCGTAGTCCACTTAGTAGGCATTCAATTTGAGAGTTTATGAAATTTGATAAAAGCCATAAGTGTTTGTCTCACTCACTATGCTCATTTTCATCATAACGGAGTGGGCTTAGCTTTTATACTTGACTTGACTTTATTTTGTTTCTTTATTGTTACAGGCTGAGGGTGTTGAACAAAAATTGTTAGATGTCAATCCGGTAATACCTGAGATGCCTGCTGTCCCAGACTCTGACTTATCAATACCTACTGCATCACGTCAAACACCAAGTAAGCTGTTTAAATTGTCTCCACTTTATTTTCTGCCTGTTATATGGTTTACTTGGGTATTTCTGGTATTTGGCTTGAATATTTAATAATTGAAAAGGAAGACATTTATTTAGGAGAAGGTAAAGGCTTTATAGAATAAAATACACAAAACATTTTCTTGAATCTTGTTTATGAGTGTATAGCTGACCTAATCAATAGCTGTTATGTTATAACACTGATCCGTAACGACTATTCTTGTAGGTGTTTCACGTTAGTGAGATTAAACATGGTTACATTCATAGTAAAGGTATCAGGCAGAGGTGTTGGGCTGTTGGCTTAAGGGAAGTAACAACCATAAGGTGTTTCCTTCCCAGTATCCAACATATCGACTACACACATAAGGGGGAAAAGGTCTAAGAAAGTTCCACCGGAAATCGCTACGTTCCAACATTGGTCCACAGCTATTTTTAGAGTTTGTTGTGAAGATGTTGCTGTGAGACATGACCATTGGGAATGGAAGATATGAAAAGGCTAGCTGCCTGTCTCTGATCATAGTTGCCGGCGTTCTATCTCCCGTGTTATATGGTAGGTGTAATAGGTTGAATAACATTGAGGTGAGGCATCAGTTGAGGGCTACTTAGGCAAGAGAAATCAATCGACGAGGTTGTGAAATTACACCAATTGATATGGTTAGGACATGTGTTATGTATGCCTAGCCATCTCCTTCCTCGACAACGGGAAATGTTAACCGGCCAACATAGGATGAATGAGGTTGGGAAAGAGTTAGCCAATGGTGGTGGTTAAACGAAAACATGTTTTCTTCAGTCAGTGAAATCCACAACGGTCAGTTTAAGCCAGCTGCCAGTCACGGAGGGAGGGAGGGAGGGAGGTGCAGACTGGCTTCTTAACTGGTTGAGATCCTCGGGATGGTAAGAACCAGTGGTTACTGGAGACAGTTGGTGATATGGCTCAAAATCCTCGTTGTCAATGGCTGACACAGACGCATTCACTCTTTGTGACTTATCATATCCAATAAAATTTTGTTGGTTTTCCATATTACTGTTCCTTTTGCCTCATATTTCTGTTTATTATCTCTCTTTATTCTCTTTCCTTCTTTTGTGTACTATACGGAGCATGGTAGCTCGAACTGGCGCATATCTGTGCAAAGTTCTACGTTGAAAGCAGTCAGTCAACCACTCATATGGTTTAGGTACGCTTCCCGGCAGACAAACTACTCAACCTCCTCAAGTTAGTTGTAAGCCCAATAAAGATGTTAGGCTGGTTATGAGACTAGCCACTCCATCCAGCAAAATATCAACATTGTGTCGTTACTGAAGCTTAAAAGCTTGCTGCCGTATATATTCCACTTGGAAGACAAAAAGGATGAAAGAAAAATCCTGGAGCTGTGAAAAGAAATGGTGTTTGTATCACCTTTCGTAGTTGTGTGATATTAAGACATCGACATTAGCCTGTCGTTACTGCCGACCCTATTATTTCTCGACCGATGGCTACTGCCTTCATGTAGTGGTCGGTTTTACACATATACTAGAATAACCCAACGAGTTCCACCGGCTAGGATGAATGTTATTGCAGATCCTACCATACCAGGAAGGTCGTTTAGATAGTGGTTTGTAATCATAGTGTAAGTTCTTGACACTGGTTTGGGATTCTGTGGGTGAAGTCTTACTGCTGGACAAGTAGGGATATGTAACAGCAGCAAGGTATTTGTTTCAGGTGACCAGCATTCCACCTATGCTGTCTTTTCGCCTTGGAGGAGGGGAGAGTTCGATAAGGTCGACCCTGAAAACTGTACATCTCAGCTTCGCTTGTAGCGGTCCGTAGCTGACACTAAGATGTTAATACAAACGAAATTCGCAAAACCACTTGAAACAGGCTATATGTGATTGGCCTTAAACAGTTGTCTGTTGGGTGCTGTAATGTGGTCACTTAACTCCAATGCGCTCCCCGTCTCTTTCAGGAAGAGAAACCAACTTCATTGGTATAGGTAGCTGGGAGATAATAACTAGCCACACACTTCCATCTGCAGCACACAATGCCTTCCTGACTATCAATCACATTCACCTCCGATTTTTTCTCATCATCTATCTTGCTTTCCTCCTCCTGTGTTAATACTATCCCACAGGCAGGGTAGATCTTTCGTCTTCTCTTAACTATATGACGACTAACAGGGACTACAGTCGGAAAGATAAACAAATTACTTGTTAGTCTCTTAAAACCACTCTACCGAGCAAGCTACAATACGCTGAACAAGAGAGTGAAGAAGAGTGCCAGGGAAGACAAAAGAAAATATTATGAAACCATGGGAAGTGAAGCGGAACAAGCTTCAGGCAAAGGAGACCTCGCCACACTCTACCAAACAACTAGGCACCAATCGGGCAAAAGTTCGACGCGGATTAAGCCAGTAAAAGATGACAGTGGAAAGTCAATCACCAAAGAGGTGGAGCAAAGAAAACACTGGGCTGAACACTTCAAAAGACTTTTAAATCGACCGCCACCTACAACGCGCCCAACAATACCAACGACGGAAGCAGAACTACCGGTGAACATCGACCCCCCGACGAAATCAGAAGTCCTGAATGCAATCAAGATTCTAAAAGTTGGAAAAGCAGCAGGACCAGATGGAATCCCAGCAGAAGCATTGAAAATGGACCCAGAGACAACAGCGGACTTGATGACGCCATTATTGGAGAAGGTGTGGAAAGAGGGCGAATTACCAAAGAAAGGAGACTTAAGTAAGTGCAAAAACTGGTGCGGAATTATGCTCTTGTCCATCCCACGCAAAATACTAAGCCGCATCATCCTGCAAAGAATCAAACAAGCCCTAGTTGAAAAACTTCGACCGGAACAAGCTGGATTCACGAGAAACAAGTCATGTGTTGATCAAATCATCATCATTGAACAAAGCTTGGAATGGCAGTCACCTCTCTATCTCAACTTCATCGACTTTGAAAAGGCCTTCGACAGCGTCGATCGAGAGGCATTTGGCGACTACTTCGCTACTACGGGGTCCCATCGACATTTATACATCTCATCCAACAGTTATACGACAATGCTCCATACCAAGTAATCCACAACAGGAAACTTACGGAATCCTTCGAAGTGAAGACGGGAGTGAGGCAAGGCTGTCTACTATCGCCAATGATCTTCCTGATTGCAGTAGATTGGATAATACGACAGATAGCGGTGGGCAATGAGGAAACAGGTATAAAATGGACTCACACAAAAACTTGGAGGATCTGGACTTCGCCGATGATATATGTCTGATTTCCCACAAACTGGAAGATATGCATGCAAGTGAAAAGCAACAAGCTGGAGGTAGAAGAAGCATCCAGAGAAGATAGGACTTCAGGTGAACATAGATAAAGCAGAGGTGATGAAGATTCCTGACCAACAGCAACAGCAGCAACAACAGACATCAGCCAGCATAAATGGGAGGAACCTGAAAGAAACAACCTCCTCTACCTACCTGGGAAGCATCGTTTCAACTATAGACCAACGAAACTGACGAGGATATCAAAGCCAGAATCGGAAAAGCAAGACAAGTTTTCATTACTCTCAAGTCTGTGTGGGGATCAGCACTCAGCATGAAAAATAAGATCCGGATTTTCAACTTCAATGTGAAGTCAGTTGCTACTCACTATACGGACCAGATAATTGGCGCGTCATAAGGAGCATCTCAAACAAACTTCAGACCTTCATTAACAATTGTCTTCGCTCCATACTCAGCTCAAGATCAGATGGCCGGCCAGAAAAGATCAGCAAAAGGGATCTTTGGAAATGAGCGAATCAACACAGCAGGAACCGATTGTGAAACAAATAGGCAGGAAGAAATGGCGATGGATTGGCCATACTCTGAGGAAACCATCTAGTGACATCACTAGACAAGCCATTGCTCGAGTGGAACCCGGAAGGGAAGCGGCGAGTTGGTCGTACAAGGGTGACTTGGAGGAGGTCATGTGAAGAGGAAATGAAAGCATGTGGGCAGACTTGGAGCGGAGTAAAGAAGTTGGCAGAAAACCGAAGGCAATGGAGACGCATGGCTGAGGCTCTATGTTCCTCTAGGAATTAAAGGATATAATAATAATCATAATTATTTTTTATTCCTTTACGTTCCCGGTGGAACAAAGGGCTTCAAGCTAGAGACTTGAAGTTTCAGTAGCGGTGGTGTTTATTTTTGGGGATGGGGTTACTCGCCTCATGCCCAACCTTCCCTCTTTACCAGTCATATTACTGGCTTAGCGAGGTGAAGGAGTGCCTCGTCGACCGAGAATCTAACTCTGGACCACCTGCATTGTCGGCAATCATTCTACTGATGTGCCACCGACGCTCCGTTGATTACAGTCCTTTTTTATGTCTCGTTTCTCTGCCTTTGTGTACTAGATGGAGTTCTGACATATTAAATTGCTGCCCTCCTGTGCACAAAGTTCTTTGTTGAAATTCACTCAATCAAACTGACCTTATGTACTCATCATCTCATCCAACACTGAAGGTGAAGAAAACAGCCTCTCTCAAGGCTAAGAAATACGGATGAGAATAAACACAGAAATGTGTAACTTTGCCTACATTGATCGTTAAAAATTCAAATGCCACTCTCTGAATGACGTTCTGAGCAAACTTGTATAGCCTTTAATCATGTCATTACGTGTATTCCATCACATGACTTTCTAGCTTTCTTTTTTTTTTATAGCTGTCGTGTTTTTTTGGTTCATTACAATTCTCCATATATATATGCAGGATACGTGTTGCTGCGTCATTTCAATGAGCAATATATCCAGTGATTAACACCAAACACGTGCAATCTAAACGACTCAGTGCCTATCCTTGATCTATGCAAAGTAGCTGAAATAAAACAAATAGGGCATATATATATATATATATATATATAGGTTTGTGTGCTTCGGTGCTCGCCAACCACGACACACGTGGTTCGTGGTTTAATCCCCGGCCGACGCACTCGAAAACCCCCACAAAGCCAGTAATAAGACTGTTAAAGAGGGAAGGTTGGGCATAAGGCTATCAACTCCACCTCTGCTAATGAAACTTTCAAGGTCTACCTTGAAGGGTGGAGGATTCCATGATGAGCTGACATCAGTTAGAGAACCATTGGAAAACCACCAGGGGAGTACTGGACAACCGTTTCGTCCGAGTTTGGGACTCTTCATCCGTAAGCACCCACCGGGGTTCGAACCCACAACCTGGTTTCAAAGCGAGCGAGCTCGGAGACCATTGAGTCACTGGGACACGATCCAATAGCTCATAAATTCTAACTTCTAGCGAGAAGCCCTATGCTCTATTGGGAACACATAGAAATAATAGAATATCCATATGATTGTGAGTAGTATAGATTGTGCTCAAAATGCCATCCAACTATTAAAACTCTGTGTGTGTTTCATATCAAATCTTCTTACCTAATATGGAATTATGCTCGTCGGTGTTTCAATCATGCATGTGATCTATGTTCGACTCCCTGGCTGTGCACCTCCTAAACCTCGCTTAGCCGACAATATGTCCAGTAAAGGTAAAAGGTTGGGCGTGAGGCAATAGCAATCTCATCCCGTAAACAAACACCACCACGATTGTAACTTCAAAACTGTATGTTCTGCCCGGAGAGCAAGTGAATCAAACCAATACATTGAATTGTATTCTCCCACAGTGCACAAATTCTACTCTCACACTGAAAATTAAATCCAGTGATACTAGGTAAGACATCAGCTTCTCAATAGGGTGAGAGAAACAAATGTTAGATATGATATTGCTATATAAAAGGCCTGTGCTTCGGTGGCACAACAGTTAGGACTCTCCCGGCCACGCATATGGTCCGGGGTTCGATCCCCTGCCGACACACTCCTGATATCAATGGTCGACCTGCAAAATTTGGGCTAACGATATCACCTGCTGGAAATTCCATACTTCTACCAAAAATACGGTGTGGAAGCAAGCTATAATCAAGAAAAAAAATATCAACAGATGAAGTTGTTTATAATTAATACGGAGGTGAATTAGAGATCTTTTGTGACAGTGTTTGCACTGTTCATTCTGTAGAGTCTTCCTGTGACTTTATAATCATTGGCTTGATTTGTATGAGTGGACTGGAAAAAAATAGTCTTGACGATTTGTCATCCTGTGGTGACAATAATATTAGTCATTCATTAGATGAGCGGTAAGTAGTTCAACAGAAAAGGTGTGTTCAGTGATTTCTATTTCCAATATAGGGGGAATGTATAGCGTATCCAGGAACAGAAGATCAAAAAAGAGGTTTATGTTCTTCGAATTATTTCATCTTTTTCTATACTCTGACATCCAATTGTACTTTAAGTCATTAGGTGTGGAGCCATGGTTCATTGGTTTAGGCGTTTGGCCTACGAACCACTATGATTAGTGGCTTGAACACCGGCCCCCTTCCCTATCAGGGGTTAAGTTTGTCAAGTAGTAGTATTACTTGGGAAACGGTAGAAGACGAAAGACTTGGTGAAGGAATTCGGTATCTCTATATAGTCAAATTATGTACACTTTGTCTTCAACTGACCATTTGCACTGATCTTCCGTATTGTGCTACACTTCTTGCCTTCGTATTATATTTCTTTGTGTTCCTTTCACGTCTCCCGTGTATCTCCACAACGCTGTATCACTTACGCTTTTTCTGACATCAAATTTATCTCCCTGCTGCTTGATGTTTTTATACTAATGAACGTCCCTTTACATACTACTAACAAATCTTATCAGTAGCACAAGCCACATTAACCCTTAAATATCAGGTTTAGCTGATTGTCAACTAAATGCAGATTAAAACCTTTGTTGAGTAAAACTAAAAGTCTTGATTCTTTATTGTGTGTGTGTTATTGCATCGATGGCGTCAGACTCCTCTGAGTTGTCGCATCAGCATTTACTATCCGACCTGGTGATTAAAAGTGGAAGACCTGTAAAGACTAGCTGTCTTTGATCATAGGTGACTGAGTTCCATCTCCCACGTTAGCTTAAGTGATATAATAGGGTGAGTAATATTGAGGTTAGGCGTCGATGGAGTGCTACGTAAGGAGGGGAAATCAAGGCTGTAAAGTTACATCGATTGAGGTGGTTAGGACATGTTTTACGTATGCCTAGCCATCTCCTTCCTCAACAACGGGCTATATTAACTGACAAAGGGTCAGGTTGGAAAAGAGCTAGTGGCGGTCAAACCAAAACACGACACCAGTCAATGAAATTCACAACAGTTAGTTTAAGCCAGCTGCAAGTCATGGAGGGAAGGCTGTGTAGACTGGCTTCCTGACTGGTTGGGGTCCTTGGGACGGTGAATACCGATGGCTGCTGGAAATAGGTAGTGATATGGCTCAAATTCCTCGTTGTCAATGACTAGCGCAGATGCATCCACTCCTTGTGGCTTATAATTTCCAATAAAACTATATTGTTCTTCCATATTACTATTCTTTTTGCCTCATATCTGCGTTTACTGCCTCTGTTTTGCGTTTCTTTTGAATTTCCTTTCTGGTTTTGTGTGCTGAGTGAAGTGTGGCAACTCGACCTGTGCATACCGGTGCAAAGTTCTATGTAGGAAGCAGACTTGCAGAAAAGCAGAAGGTTGGTGATTACTAATGTTCAAGATTTCAGTTGATTTCAGTTCTTACTCAGTGCAATAATAAAACAGGTGTGCATGCGGAAACCAACCAATTCCTATATTTTTTTTAATATTTCATTCCTATGCATTCCGAGTGGTCACTAGAGCCTTTAGTTCTTGAAGTCTTGACGTTTCACTAGCCCATGTCTTTGTTGTTTTTACGGAGTGGAGCATCCAGCCTGACGCCTAGCTTTCCCTTTTGTACGGGCTTACTGTTGTGTAGTAAACTGAGTGAGGTTGAGGAGCATCTGGGCTGGGAATCGAACCCCAGGCCATGTGCATGATTCATGAACATTCTATACATGAACCACGGATGCTCTAAACCATTCAGAAAAGAAACTTGATCATGTTGATTCATGTTTCTGATATGCTCAAGTTTTAAAGTGGTATCAGTTGTGACTCATTCGTCTAGCCGCTTAACTTTCAACCGGTGGATCGTGGATTCGAACTCCACCCCATCTACTTAAGTCTAGTCAGCCAGATAGCATCACACTGCCAGCTTTCGCGCATTAGTAGGTGTGGCTCATTGTCAACAACGTGTGGAATTGTAAGTGGTTGTTTAGGAACACTCTGTTTTTCTGCAACGGTTGTATATCCAGGCTAGACATTATGGTTCATTGGAGTGTGTGTGTGTGTGTATTTAGCGAGACATGAAGTCATTTCACAGAAGACTCACTGCTTCTTTCCATCTTCAGATTATGTAATAGTTTGAATCACATTGGTTTCAAAAATTAAATCGAATCACCGCCTCATTCCTAACTGACTGGCTGACCGGCTTCAACGTAGAACTTTGCACCGGTATGCAGCAGTTCGACTTGCCACACTTCACTTAATTCACAAAGCAAGAGAAGAAAGTAAAAAGAAACGCAAAACAGAGCCAGTGAACAGAGATATGATGCAAAGAGAATAATTATATTGAAAGACAATATAATTTTATTGGAAATTATAAGTCACAAGGAGTGGATGCATCTGCTCCAGCCATTGAGAACGAGGATTTTGA